AAAGCTATAAACGCTTACCGTGTGCAGGTTTTGTGTGGACATAAGTTGTCAGCTCCTTTGGAGTACCAAATACAGGAAGTGTAAGATCTGCGGGTGGATGGTAGCTACGTTTGTTTTGTGAGAAACTGCAGAAACCGTCTTTGTTCCCCAGCAGTATGAATGAGAGCTCTGTTCTCCCGTTCTCATCAGCATTGGTGGTGTTGGTGTCAGGTTTGGCCATTCTAATAGGTATGTCATAGTATCTCGTGTTTTAATTTGCATTTCTGATGACGTATATGAGGTGGGTATCTTTCAGATGCTTATTTTCTGTATGTGTATCTTCTTTGTTGAAGAAGCCTCTGCAAGGTCTTTGGCTCATTTCTTAATCGTTGTTTGTTTTTTCCTTTTCCTTTTTCCTTTTTTCTTTCCTTTCCTTTTTCCTTTTCCTTTCAACTTTTTTCTTTCCTTTCTTTTCCTTTCCCTCTCCTTTCCTTTCCTCTACTTTCCTTTTCTTTTTCTTTTTCTTTTTTTTTTTTTTTGGAGACAGAAGTCTCGCTCTGTCCTGTAGGCTGGAGTGCAGTGGCACAATCTCGGCATACTGCAACCTCTGTCTCCTGCCAGGTTCTCACCTCAGCCTCCCAAGTAGCTGGTAGGCCCACAGGCACCCACCATGCCTGGCTAATTTCCCAGTAGAGATGGGGTTTCACCATGTTGGTCAGACTGGTCTCGGGCTCGCACTCAGGTGATCCACCTCAACCCAAAGTACTGGGGATTACAGGCGTGAGCCACTGTACCCAGCTTGTTTCTTTTTCTTTTTTTGGGACATGGAGTCTCACTGCTGCTCTAGGCTGGTCTTGAACTTCTAGGCTAAGTGACCTCCGCCTCAGCCTCCCAAATGGCTGCTGGAATGACAAGCAGGTGCAAGCCACGCAACACTGGCTCTCTGTTGTGTGGCGCCCTTTTTGCGCGGCTTATAGTTGCGTTTTAAATTCATATTTTACGCGATCGCTATCGGATGTCTTTTGCAAATATTTTCTCTACTGCGTTCTTAGCTTTTCGTTCTCTTGATATATGGTATTTCACAGAGCAGAAAGGTTTAATTTATGTGAAGTCCAACTTGTCTTCTTCTTTCATAGATCATTGTCTTTGATTGTTGCATCTAAAGTCATTGCCAAACCAAGGTCATCTAGATTTTCTCCTACATTATCTTCTACAGGAGTTCTGTTGTTTTTGTTTGTTTGTTTTTGTTTGTTTCACTTAGGTCTATCTCCATTTTGGGTTAATTTCTTGGAGTGCTGCAGAAGTCTGTCAGATTTGTACTTTTCCACGTAGTGTCGATTTGTTCCAGCACCATTTGTTGAAAAGACTATTTTTTCCTCCATTCTATAAGCACTGTCTGCGCCTTTGTCAAAGATCAGTTATTCTTTATGTGGAGTCTATTCTGGGCTGTCTATTCTGTTCATTGTCTGTTCTTTTTGCAATACCACCTGTCTTACGTAATCTGCTTTTCAACTCATTACCAGGACCTTAATTTGGGTTATTATGTACTTTTTAAAAAAGTTTACTACAGTTTCTAATCGGCTCTTTGAAAAATGTCTGTATCTTTTTGTAGGTTTCAGATGTGATTTTGCCTTATTTGGGGGCTCAATGCAGTACGGCTGTGAAGACATCGTCTGACTGCTCCGAGCGCGCTCTCTGCCTGGCTCTAATCCCTGCCTCATTGTGCTGCGTTTGCTGCCTTGTGTACCTGGTGACCTCCCCAGTTGTACCCAGGAAGATATATTTGATAAACTGTTGTGGGATGTTATTTTGAAGCATGGTAGATCTCTGTAGAAAATGATATTTACACTGCCCACACCCCCGCACCTCGTGCAGGGGTGCAGCAGTCTGGCATCCTCATCATTGGATTCAGGTGTTAGCCTCTGGGCCCCTGGGTGAAATGGACATGGGCTGCAAGGCCTGGTGCACTTTTCTCCATGGTGCAGCCTGTCCCTTCTCACTCGTCACCTCACTCCTGCTGGCCGGGAGTAGGGCCAGATCGCTCCGTCCAGTGTGAGGACACAGTCCCAACAATAAGGGATGGTGGCTTTCAGGGCCGGTGCTCAATAAAAGGCCTCTGTCCCCTTGCCAATGGGATGACCTGTAAAGGCACCTGGCATGTATCACACCTTGCACCCAGAGGCCCACTGATGCTTCTGTCTGCAGTGATCAGCCCTGATCCCAATGTGCTTTCAGCTCTATCTTGTTGGGTGCTAGTGCAGATTCAGGGCCTGGCACTCCTCTCTGACCTTGCCCTTGCCCCTTTGGAGGTGAATCACCTGCCATTGGCACATTAGGTGGATGGACTGCGTTGCAGCTCCCCCTCTCTCTACCACCACCTTGGCTGGGACCCCAGCCCTGGTCCCCCTCCCCAACAGGTGACAAATTATGTAGGCCTGGGTTCCCTTGGAGTGCATTTGAAACACCGAAGGAAACATCAATCTAGGGAACGGATTGACATGACTTACTCCTTTATTATTAAAACCTAGGGACATTGTTATAAAAATATATTAATAAAGACAAAAGCAGAGCAGAAGTGGTCCGGTGAAAAACACATTATTATTATTTACATTCTAGTATTATTATTAGGAATATTATTGGTTTTTGGTTTTCCCAGTTATCAGCTCTCAGAGACCCGTGCCTGCTCACATGAAGTCAGTTTACAGGAGAAAATATTTCCATCCCCCCACCCCCTGCCGCTGTAACATACACATCCGCTGGCCTGGGAGAGACATCTGCAGCTGGGAGGTTTCCTGCCTTGTTAAGGTGACCCAGGCCCCACCGCAGCCCCCACCTCGTTACTGCACATCGTCCAGACACTGACACTTGGTTATTTGACTGTGATGTACACACAACACTAAAATGGGAAATGGGGAAAAATAGGAAGCGTTGTAAACTGATGTGCAATTCAAAAGAAGAGAAATCTCTCTCTCAGGCACAACTTAGTCCCAGTTGTGTAGAGGGTGGCCATGTCATCTACTGATTTTGATCTTCTCAGGGGTTGGTGCTGACCAATGTGGGATCCTGCACATTTTGGAGGCTGGTTTGGAGTCATTCAGCAGGGTGCCTCATTGTAGCCTGTAAACCAAGGGTCACCATTCTCAGTGCAGTCTATATAAACACTTGTAGCATCCTGGGAGCCCATTACCATTTATGGGACGGTATCATGAATGGTGCCTCCTGGGGTGAACCCTGCAGCAGCCTGGATTTCAGTCTGTCAAGGGCAAATCTGCCAGAGGAGCTTTGATGTGAAGATGGGAGTTTGGGTACAGGTAACCAGCCAGTCAAACCTATCTCCTCTGCCTCATTCACATCAAGCACCTATCTCGCACTGTGGCAGGAGCTTGGATGACTAGGAAAGCTGAGGTGGTGGGAGACAGCCAGTACCTCAAAGATTTTTCATGGGTAGGACAGGTAAGTGTTCTGGTTTCATTTGTATTGTGTGAATCTAGCATCTGTTAGGCACCTTCTAGTCATTTCCCACAGGTGGTCACACTTCACTGCATGGCAGGAATGATAGGCTCCCAGATGGGCCCCCTGGGTCTGGGGCCATGACAGCGGCATGGCGCGCTCGGCAAGTATCTGCACTGAATAGGTGGGGAGTCTCGTGGTGTCTTCAGATGTCGGTTTTTCTAGGAGGGTCTGGCCTCTTCTAGTTCGCCGATTCTTAACTTTAACATTTACAGGCTTTTTGAGCCCCACAACCCCCAAAGTTGTTTGCATGCACTTAAGCACCAGTGTGGGATGTTGGTGCACTGCAGGAACTAGGGCACACTATGCATGGCATCTGGCACATAGAATTACACAGGTTGTCGGAGGCCGGGGCATGGCTAGCCCAGTGATATATTCCTGGACTGCAAGGGCGGCGGTGATCAGAGTGCCATCCACTCTGTGGCGCCTGTCCGACTGTCCCCTGCAGTGCTATAGAGGCCAGGCAGACACCCTCTGATGCCCACCCGTGAGCAGGATGATTAAGGAATCCCTGCAGTTTGCTTCCATGATTCTAACCTAGATTTTCCCAGCAGACAAAAAGCCACCAGGATGTGTGTCCCTATAGAGATGGGTGGCCCTTCAACATTGATAAGACATGTTAGCAATAACTCTAAGGTCTGTTATTCCTTCTTCCTTCTTACTTACCTACCTACCTACTAGACAGGAGTCTCACTCTCCTTTTCCCAGGCTGGAGTGGACTGTGGTGCATCTCAACTCTCTGCAAGCTCTGCCTCCTGGAGTCTCACTCATGCCCAGGCTGGAGTGGACTGGTGCGATCTCAACTCTCTGCAAGCTCTGCCTCCTGAGTTCCTGTTATGTTAATTTCAAACATGTGGGAAATCTGTAAATTCACTTCTGAAGGCTCTTCCTGTTGATGGGGACCAGTTCAGCCAAGTTGAAAAATTAAAATAATGGCAGAGTCTCTAATAGACATGGTGATTGTGAAGGCAGCCAAGCCATCGGAGGGGCCTGGGTGGGGACAGCGGCTGGAGGGATGTAAAGGGTGTGGCCACACCAGGCTAGAATCCTGACCTCACCTGGACAGTGGCCTGTGGGCGAGTCAGTGCCAGGCTCAGCCACACCCACAGCCCGGGTCTGTTTGACATGACCTGAAGAGAGCTTTTGGGTTGATGGTGAACTGCGAACCATCTCCTGGCCAAAGAATCCTGTTAACCCCAATTCCTGGTTGTGTTTTCTCGGACAGTCCCAAGTCCTTCTCTTCAGCTCTGGGCCAAATTTGACTGAATCTTTGTGATGATGAGGGGAGATGCCACCCACCCTGGGAACACTGTCAGCTGCCTACTAGCTGCTTTCTAGAACACTGGAGACAGCAAGAGGGACCAGATCTACCTGTGAAATCACCTGTGTGTGTGCATGTGCACGTGTCCATGCATGTGTGTGCATGCACAGCTGGTTGTGCACACATGTATTCATGTGCATGTATGCATGTGTGCATTGTGTACTTGTGTGTGTGTGTTTTCAATTAAGGCCCGTTGCACATCAGCAATGGTCATGGTCAGGTGCTGACCTGGCAACTGGAGGGGCCAGGCGAGGCAGGTGAGCAGGCTGCTTCTCTAGGTGCAGGGCATGTTCAGAGGCTAATGTGAGGGCAGCGAGGCAGCAGGCGCTACCAGCTATTGGTTCTGAATAGAGATTCCGAAACACACAACAATCACACCGTACACAGACGAGGGGGAAAGCATAAAACTGCTCATGAATCACACAGTTCCCAGTGGGAAACAGTCCTTACAAATGCGGTATTTCTGCAAAGCAGCCTCGAATGCAGATTCCTCTGTGGACATCTTGTCCTCCTTTCTCTCGTGTTTTTCTTTATGTATTATTATTACAAATTACATGGTTATGGACAGAAGCTCACAGTAAAAAGTAAAAGTAGGCAGCTTAAAAATTCAGGTTGAGGAGTTGCTACAAAACGATAACTCTAGAAATCTATGCTTGAACTTGTCACTACCCTGCATCCATCTTGTTCTCAGGGACACTCTACTCATTGAAGGACCTGCCAGCCACAAGCACAGTAGGATGGGGACAGTGTTTATCACAATGACCTGGGGACCCACAGTGTTTTGAGGAGCCCTTGACACCACTGGGGGATTGAATACCCACACCTGCTTTCTACACCGAGTGTTCATACCCGCGTGCACACCGTTCTCACCTCCTCCGTGAGACAGCAAGTACCGTGACCCCCTGGCACCCCATCTCACACACTTGACAGGTAAGAAGCAGAGGCTCTGAGAGGTTAAGTGACTCGTGGGGGTGACCTGTGGGAAGGAGGGTGCTGTGGCTGTCTGTACCTGCCTTTGCCGCAGGCTATCTATACCAGGTGTGCTGAGTCGTGGTGATCTCTGCTGAGACCTCCTGCTTGCCACAGAATGTTCCAGTCCTCAGCCCAGCTGCCCAAGAGGGACTTGGCAGAGCAGTAGGACCACAAACCCCATGAGTTTTTCAGTTATTCCTGAAAAGACCTCTTTCAGGAGGAATGTCCTCCTAGAAGGTTGTAAATCTCAAGGGATGCTTAGGTGAACCCCAGCTCTAGCTATTTGGCAGTGACCTCTGACCCCAGGTGTCTAGGAGAGGGAGGCAAGGCCACCAGTTCCTTTTTGGCGGAGGAAGCACCTGTAGAGCATCATCCAGGACAGCAGGACACGAGGGCTGCAAACCCCTTAAATACCCATCTGACTCCTTCCTCTTACCGATGGGGAAACTGAGGTAACAGACCTTGCCTGAGGTCACGCTGTTTGTTCGCAGTGGCAGAGCTGATGTCAGAATCTGGGTCTTGGGCCCCTCACCCCAAAGCTTCCTCTGCCTTCCGAGGCACTGCACATGGGACAGGCTGTGCACCCCCTTATGGCAACATGGCCCTGGGATGGCTCACATCAGGGGAGAGGAAGCCATGCCTTTCTCCAATTGAGACCCCAAGCAGAGGTTCTCGCACTTTGCCTCTGCCAAGCTGTAGGCCTGGCATACCGCTGCCAGCACTGCCTGGAGGAGACAGGTGAACCCAAAGACTGAAGCCAGGGGCCTGGGTCTTCCACAGCGGACCTGTGTGACCCTGGGCAAGCCACTTGACCTGGCTTAGTCTGTCTTCTCATCCATAAAATGGGGAGAGCCCCTTCTTCACGGGGCTGTTGAGAGGATGGAGAGCCAGGCAGAATGGGGGATGCTTTATGCCCTAGCAAGCTTGTTCTGCTTTTCCAAAGGCAGGGCATTGTTTGCACAGCTTGACTCATAGCGGAGCCCAGAGTTGGGCATGCTCGCCCGCCCTCATCTCCTCTGGGTCCCAGCCACCTGGCTTTCTTATGCTTCCTTGAAACCACCAAGACTATGGCTGCTTCAGGGCCTTTGAACTAGCCATTCCTTCTGTCTGAAATGCTCTTTTCCTATCTTTAATGCCCATTACTGGCTCCTGTGTGTCATTCAAATCCGGGCTTCAATCATCTGCTCAAGAAGGTCTTTCCAGACCACCCCAAGTCCGCAAGTGTCTCACTCACGTGTCCCTCGAACTGAGTTCCCAGCAGAGCACTCACTGCCCTTGCCACCTTCCTTCTTCGCTGTCTTGCCCCAGCTAGAAAGCAAGCACAGTGAGCAGGGACCTGCCTTGTTCACTGTCGTGTCTGGTGAATGGATGGGTGGTCAGTGTGAGAACACTAGGTCTGATGAAATGAGGAAACTGGATCAGAGGACACACATGTTTATTGAGCAGGGCCTCCCGAGCTAAGATCTGAGGGAGGTCTGGGACCACTAACGCCCATGGAATGTGTGTATCTACACTGGCAGCGTGGCCTTTGGAGATGTTTGTGATCATTTAGGTGATGCCATCTCATAGGTGCAACGGGGCAGGAGTGGAGGTGATTAGCTCTGTGGGTGGATATTTTGGGCATCTAGGTTTACGTGGAAGTCCCACTTGAAAGTGGATGGATTTCTAGAACCCTCCTCTTTGGGTTTCTGTAGCCTCGTTACCCTGTCCAGCAAAGATCCCTGTGTCTGTCTCTCCCACCAGATGGGAGGCTCCCCAGGGGCAGAGATAAGGTCTGACTCATCTTTCGTCCCCATCACTGCCCAGCACGGGACCTGGCACACAGCAGGTGCTTAGCCAGAATGTGCTGAGCGGATCAGCGCTCCAGGCGGTGATGGCGGAGAACTCAGGGAGATGGCCTGTGGAGGCATCAAGGAGATGCTCCTGGCATTGTGCAGGGTGTGCCCTGGCTGGGGAGCACGTCATGTCCAGGGAGTTGGAGCCTGGACTTTGGGTTCCTGCACCCCTGAGACCAAACGAGGGGTTGGTCTCCTCCTGGCCACATGGCCCTGGGCACCCCTTCTCCACTGTGAGCTTTTTCTGCAAGGGGTTAATCATACCTGCCTCCCAGGTGGTAAGAGAGAGAGTGCATGAAAACACTCAACTTGGTACCTGACCTGTGGTCAGCCTGAGATGCGTCCCTTAGTATTACTATTGTTACAGGAATGAATTCTGTAAGAACCAACCCTACTGGCATTTTCAAATCCCCAGTGCCCCCCGAGACACAGAGGGGCTGTACCCTGTGCTGTAGCAAGAAGCTTGCGGCCTGGACATTGACACTGACCAGAACCCCCCAGCTAGAGGGTGACCCGTGCCCATCAGAGAACTTGAGGGGGAAGCCCCAATAAAAACCAACCAAGCAAACAAAAAGAACATCCCAAATCACACACGCGCACACACACACGCGCACATCCAATATTCTGACACAAATAGCCCCAAGGGGCCGCTATTTGGAGGGAGCAGGGGCAAGGGAAGCTTCGGTTTTCAACCATGGGTATAACTCACAGACCTCAATCCTCCCGGCTGGAATCAGCCAGAGTTGCTTTGTCTTGGTCATCCTGAGTCCACAATGAGTCACCTCTCAGAAGCCACCAGCCCAAAATGGGACTATTGCTTGCGGACAGGTGGCTCAGAATCCCTTCCCCGGCACCCCCAGCCCCTACCCCTGAGTTTGCTCCTAATCTTAGAAGTCCACGGAAGAGGGTTTTGGGCACAGGCAGCATTTCTTCCTCTGCCACCGCCGCTACCTCGGCTGTCCCTGGCATCTCTGTAGAAGTTGTTCTTCTCGGAGGCTGCACTGGGTGCTTCAGATCTCATCTCCCCCATCCTGAGGCACAGCAAAAGGGTTTTCTGGAAGAAATACAAGGAAAAAAAGTATCACATGGTGTCTCCTCCATGGGGACTCACTGGGGACATTTCTCTATGGTCTCAGTGCCAGAAGAAGCCAGGTTTCCTCTGAGCACGTGGGTTTTGTCTTCTGAACATTGTGAACCATGTGACTTTAAGATTGGAAGCAAGAAAAAAAAACATCTGCTATCATTATAGCTCCATATAGTACTAGAGCTCTGGCCCATGCAATAAGACAAGAAAAATAAGCATAGAATAGGACTGGAATAGAAGAACCAAAATTACAGTTAACTGTGGATAACTTACTAGAAAATGTAACAGAATCAACAAGTTAATTAGTAGAATGGAGAGTGCAGACATAGAGGTATAATAACCTATAAGACATCAAATCAATTTATAAAATGGAACAATGTGCATTGACCTCAGCAATTACTAGGGTAATTATATGTCATGGCTTGGGACAGTCTCAGTTAACACTTATTCTGACACAATTTTTAATGTTGTTCCCCTTTTACCCTCAAAAGTATTCTGATTTGGATGATAAATTATATGGTCACCCTTGCTATAACAAACTAAATATTAAACACAGATACAGATTCCATTCATATATGTATTTTGGAATGACACTAATATATGACCATGTCATACAAAGCTATAGAGAAGAGACCAAGGTGCTCCTGGAATAGGGAAGAGCCAGGAGACCAGTGGAACAAGATCTACAGTGTGGAAACAGGTCTGCAGGGCACTTACAGCTTTGACTGGCAGAGTCAAGTTGCAAACCAGACAACAAGGAAAAGAAATGCAAACTCCATCTGTGGCAGGCAGCATGAACACCACTGCCCTGTGTCTGTTGTAAGACCAATTTCCCAGCCACAGATACTTACCTTTCCAGACTCCCTTGCAAGCAGGGGTGGTCACATGACCCAGTCTGGCCAATGCTGTGTAAGTGGGAGTCTATTGGGAAGGGGACATGAATCTATGGGAAGATGAACTATCTTGCATGCATGAGAATAAAGGATGCTCACTAACACAGGTGGGGTAGAAAGCAGGGAGAAACTTGGTTCTGGTGGAAACCCTGGACTGCCCCCTCCACACCGCTGCAGTTGAATTTCTTTTACTTGCATAAATTGCATCTGGTGACAGTTCTTAAGTACATGGTTTTTGGGCAAACAGAGAAGTCAAGGGAGTGACTCTGACAAAGCCAGGAAAGCCCACTTCCCCAGAGTGAGTGATACACCAAGAGGCAGAACGTACTCTCCACTCTTTACACATCAGTGGGAATGTGCACAGGGGCTAAGGGTGAGATATTCCGTGGGGTCATCTCCTCTGCTTCACAGAACAAAGTCAGGTACTCTCCATCACCCACTTTGTTTTTCTCCACAGCACACACCTCTATCCAACATACCACCTGTTGTACTTACTTGAATAGCTTATTGTTTGTCTTCCCCAAATAGAAAGTTAGCTACAAGAGGGTTAAGGTGATTGTGTGTTTTACACATCACTGCATTGCCAGGGTCTAGAACAGTAACTGGCATACTGTAGGGGGCTTAATAAATATTTATCAAATAAATGAATGAACCAAGAATTTAAAGCCCAATGAACCATCTTTCAAGTATAAAGTCAACAGAAAAACGTGTTGGACATATTTTTGAATTCTAGTTTCCATGACCCTTTCTTTAAAAAGTTAAGGACACCCTTAGGCAAATCAAGAATGATTCAGAAAGGTTTAACATAAAAGGATGGGCAGATGATTTTTAAAAGTTCTGTGAATGGATGGCGGTGATGGCTGCTGTATTAATCCATTTTCATGCTGCTGATAAAGACATACCCGAGATTGGGCAATTTACAAAAGAAAGAGGTTTAACTGGACTTACAGTTCCACATGGCTGGGGAGGCCTCACAATCATGGCAAAAGGCAAGGAGGAGCAAGTCACACCTTTAGTGGATGGTGGCAGGCAACGGGAGAGACAGCGAGCTTGTGCAGGAAAATTCCCATGTGTAAAGCCATCAGATCTCATGAGATTTATTCACTATCATGAGAACAGCACAGGAAAGACCTGCCCCCATGATTCAATTACCTCCCACCGGGTTCCTCCTGTGACACATGGGAATTGTGGGATTTACAATTCAAGATGAGATTTGGGTGGGGACACAGCCAAACCATATCAGTTGCCCTACAGTGAGAAGGTACTTAATGCCCCTGAACTGTAGACTTAAAAATGGTTAAAATGGTAAACGTTATGTGTATTTTACCAGAATTCATAAAAAGGATGAGCAGAAGCATAACAAAGGTCAATGAAGAGAAATCAGGGTCAAGGTATAAATGGAGCACTGCCAAGAGGGCCAGCAATGAGCGTGGAATTTGTATAACTGCAGGACTATTGCAGCCAATCTAAAGATTATGACCATCACAGAGAAGAATGAAACAAAACAGAGAAATTAACAAAAAGTAGGAGGGATGGAGGTAATATAAGTAAACTATGTCATATTCATATATAGTTGGGAGTCTAAAGAATTGCTTAGAAGTTTAAAATTAGAGGCATCGAGGTAAACAGAAAAAAATATAATCAACTAAAATAACTTCATGGAAGGGAGACAAGAGGAAGGAAAGTAGAAATATTCTAATTTTGATATTGTTTACAGTAGGGAGAAAATAAATGTTGTCTAGAGAAATAAAAGGATTGAATATAACCATGGGATCAAAAATGCAGCTTTCCAAATTATCAGAAGACATACACACAGAAAATAAAACAAAGACAACAGAGACCATATGGAGAAAACTGACAACCCCCACAAAACTATAAAAGCAGAAAGCCTATCAAACAATGATGACAGAACTAAGACCAAATGCATCTGCCATATCAGTAAATGTTAATGAGCCATACACACTTGGTAAAAAATAAAAAAGACTGGATCACAAACAAGGGTACTGAAGGTAGAATGATTCAGCAAGGTTTCATCAAAAAGGATGGGCAGGACCGGGCATAGTGGCTTACATCTGTAATCTCAGCACTTTGGGAGGCAGATAGATCATGAGGTCAGGAGTTCAAGACCAGCCTGGCCAACATGATGAAATCCCATCTCTACTAAAAATACAAAAAAATTAGCCAGGTGTGGTGGTGGGTGCCTGCAGTCCCAGCTACTCAGGAGGCTGAGGCAGGAGAATCGCTTAAACCCGTGAGGCGGAAGTTGCAGTGAGCCAAGATTATGCCATTGCACTCCAGCCTGAGTGACAGACAGATTCCATCTCAAAAAAAAAAAAAAAAAAAGATGGGCAGATAATTTTTACAAAGTTCTGCAGATGGTTGTACTACAGTGAGAAGTACTTAATACCCCTGAACTGTATACTTTAAAAAAGGTTAAAATGATAAATGTTACGTGCATTTTACCATAATTTTAAAACAGGATGAGTAGAAGCATAACACACAAATGCAAATGAAGATAAATCAGGGGTCATAATATCAGACAAAGCTGAAGTCAGGGCAAAAAAAAATTGAATGAGAAAAAAGAAGGGCACTGTGTGAGGGTGAAGAATGACAGTCATCATGAAGATCTAATAGTAATGAATGTTCATGTACCAAATAGCATAGCCTCAATATTCACAGAGCAAAACTGGAAATTTAGGGAGAAAAAGCAGAGTATGCTAGCATTAGCACCTTTTTTTTGTTGAGACAGAGTCTCACTGTTGCCCAGGCTGGAGTGCAATGGTATGATCTCAGCTCAGTACAACCTCCGCCTCTTGGGTTCAAGCGATTCTCCTGCCTCAGCCTCCTGAGTAGCTGGGATAACAGGTGCTCACCACTATGCTTGGCTAATTTTTTTTTTTTTTTTTTTTTTGTATTTTTAGTAGAAATGGGATTTCACCATGTTGGCCAGTCTGGTCTCGAACTCCTGACCTTGGGTGATCCACCCACTTCGGCCCCCCAAAGTGCTGGGATTACAGGCATGAGCCACCACGCCTGGCCTAGTGCATTTTAATTCACCTGTCTCAAACCATTCCATATGCAGTTGGCAAAAACAAAAGTAAGGAGAGAGGGAGCCAAATAATCTAATAACTGTGTGTGTGTGTGTAAAACACAGTCTACCTTCATTCTATTCAAATGCTCTTGAAAGTGCATACACAAAAAGTGACTATCAGGCCACAAAGAAAGTAAATTCCAAAAAATAGAAGACAACGTTCTCTGATAACAATATACTAGAATTCGAAAATACTAATGAAACCACAGACCAAACCAAACTTTGCCACCAAGAGGTCTATAAACACTTAAAAGTAACCTTGAGTTAAAAAGAACAAAAAACAAAAACTGCAGAATATCTAGACAATAACAAAAAAATATATTTATGGACCTGTGGGATGCAGCCAAAGCCAATGTTAAGAGGAACATATATAGCCTTAAAACACTGATCTTATTAATAAATGAGAAAGCATGAATTGCCCAACTCAAAAAGTTAGAAAAAATAAACCTAAGAAAGACATACAATAAATAAATGAAAACAGAAATGGAGTTAACAGCAAAAGAAAGGAACTCAACTCCATTTTTTTTTAAATTAAAAAAAAAAAAAATTTAGAGACAGGCTCTTGCTCTGTCACCCTAGCTGGAGTACAATGATGCAATCATAGTTCACTGCAACCTCAAACTCCTGGGCTCAAGCGATCCCCCTGCACCAGCCTCCTGTGTAGCTAAGACTACACGTGTGCACCACTACACTCAGCTAATTTAAAAAAATATTTTTTAGGGATGGCATCTTGCTGTGTTGCCCAGGCTGATCTTGATCTCCTGGCCTCAAGCAATCCTCCTGCCTTGGCCTCCCAAAATGCTAGAATTACAGGCATGAGTAACCATCTCTGGCCCCAACTACTTGTTTTTTGAAAAACAGACATGTTCACTGCTGGGGAATCTAATGAAGCAGGAGATATAATACACAGAAGGTGGAGGTGACTGCTTGGAAGGATTCTCTGCACTTTTGCTCTTCAGCTTCACTTCTCACCATCCCTTAACCCT